CAATAAAATGCACGCGCCTTCATCAATATATCAGAACAACTATCCAAATGTTTTGTACGCGTAAAAGTAGTTTTACTTACTATTTCATTTCACTTCATATTCTCAACAACAACAAAAAACATATAGTTACACATGTAAGACAAATTGCCGATAAAAATAATAATGGCATTTTATTTTTTTGATACAGACTTCATCATCTCAAATATCAGTTCGCCTTAGAGGCTAGTGAGCTCGCTTGATATTCTTGCTGATAAAGTCAGTTCCAAAAACAAAAATGCCATTAGTCTATTCTTTAAAAATATCATTGGGATGTTCGGCTTCTTATAGATACTTGTAATGTGTCCATTCCATTTCATATCTGATGTTATTGAGACAATAAGATATTTCGCTAATGTTTCATTTTGCAGTTCATGTCCATTGTCTACATTCTTGTTTGAAGTTGGTTATCTCTTTCTTGTGATGGTTTGCACATTACATCTGTCTGGTTAGAAACTCATTTTTGATGTTTCTTTTCAAAGAACCAGTTTATTAAGGTCGTCTTTAAGGTGGATTTTGTCGATTTGCTGTTATCATAAGATATACAATGGTGTCATCCGCGAATACATTACTGTTGATCTAATGTTTTCTGGCATTACGTTGATATAGAATTTAGCGAAAAAAAAACAAAAAAACAACTGATACAAAAAAACAGTCCAAGAGTATTCACAGTTTCTGAATTCTAGTTCAAAATCAATATCAACTAATAGATACATCATGTTTTCCCCAGACTTGATATCAATCAGTACACCTCTAACGGATTTGTATAGAAACATTCAAACTTCCTAACTAAATCTATGTATCTATGTAACAATGAAATATCAACAAAACTACCGAATTTCTAAAGTAAAGGGCCCTTTGTAGTAAGTTAAAGGAATTTGTGATAATGAACTTAGACCTTGATTTAACAATTTAACAATTGTATATAGATTTCGTTCATTTAAATCTTTTACGTTAAAATAGACAAGGACATAGCGAACGAGTTAGGAAATATACACACGTACGAAGGGAACAAAGGAGTATCACTGTCCGAAAAAGAAATAGTGACAATTAGGAACGAAAAATCTTCTTATTACTTGTATAGAGTTTCTGAAATATCCAAATCAAGAAAAAGAACAATTATGGATGTTCATATTAGATTTATTTAATGAATGGCTTTTATTTACAAAACTAAAAAGTTACCTTAGACTATCCTTTTATCCGCGGGGTAATTTCCGGCATTATCCGGTACGAGTCACAAATATAGGTGCGTTAAAAATTGACCTCCTGTCATTGATTAACTAAAGGACAATTGACAATGACGGACAACCTGTAAAATTTAAAATCATACTTTGAATATCATATGTGAACTGGTTTTGGTATTCTGTCTTTATATTTGGCTCTAAGGCTCAAAATGTTATAAACACATGTCTATTGTTGAAGCTGTAGAAATCTTTGGTTATTTGTTTGTGTTGTTGTATCATTAACGTTATTCTGCATGATGTGTATTCATAGATATAAAGGAACCTCAACGGTCCGGGCGAACAGACACAACATGATGGATATGCAATAGCAAGTAACGTGTATGGACTTGACTTCATCTAATCCTGATAATATCAAATAATTGAAAGAGTTGATGATAGATCATCTGAGTCAATTTTGTATTGATTAGGAGGAAGACACAAACATTTTGCAATCATTTTCCTATAATTGTACTTTACTGAGAATGTAGACAGAATTTATAGTTCTGGGCACAATTTGCAATAGCAATAGTCGTCATTTAATGGCCATTGTACTTAGCTTGCCTGTAACAGTTCTAATAATAAAGGCATATTATAATTAATGGTTATTTAATCAAATATACTAAACGTTATCGACGTTTCAAATATATGCAATGTTTATACAAACATATTGATTCTTAAACAACAATGTTAAGCGTGCATATTGGCAATTGAAAATTTATACCCTCAGCAAGAATCGATTTGAAGCCTTTGAGACATCAACTATATCAATGGCTGCATTGTGCCGCAGCGTCCTAGACCTCTCCTCCAATTATGGACTATACAAAACAGCTGTCGTCAATGGAATGATACCTTTTCTCATTAGCTTAATGTAGGGTTATGACACAGTATATTATGATGAGTTACATGTGACATTGCTAATACGTCGTCAGTTAGTAAAAGAGAGGTGAAAGATACCAAAGGGACATTAAAACTCATTTGTCGAAAATAAACTGACAACGACATGGCACAAAACGAAAAAAGACCACAAGACAACAACAGTATACATAACACAACAAAGACCATTATAATCAATTCATTCTTAGACTTATAAGTTTTGATTCTTACTTTGCTATCTGCCACTCTCTATGATAATAGTACCGGTAACAATTGTATTGCACCATATGTGCATTTTGACAAAAAATGTCTCTACAATGACGCTCAAGGCAAAAATATTTGAAAATAAATAAGCAAAAAAAAAAACAAATGTTGAAGAGCTGATAAACCAAAAAGGACCTAAAGTATAGCCAAATCAGAACAAGGCATCACAGCTTTGCATGGGGAAGATATATTTATCAATTCAATATTTTAATCAAACAGCAAATTTTAATCAAACAATATTCGTATGTATATGCCAGTAACGAAATAAATCCAATTTTTAACAATGAGTGCAAATTACACGAAAGTATAAGAAATCGATAGCAGGAACCATTTTTTGTCTGGTAAGAATGTTTTCGTGTCCAAGTATTTGTGATACCTGAGTATGTTATATGGGTATGGTTTTATAAACGTTTAGTATCTAGCGTAACTGTAGAAAACACTGAAATCAGTACTAAACATTTATGTTCTGGTTTAAGTTGTTATAGTTCTGCATTGTACTGTGCATTTCTAACAATTCGATTCTATTTGTAACAGTCGCATCAGTGATGTTGTAATTTATAAAATATAAAATGACGGAAGAAAGAAATACACAAATACTGTCTGTGAATTTAAACGAGATTTAAATGAATTCAATAGGGACTGAAAGGCGTGAATATGTTATTTTTCGCTAACACCAACTACAATGTACTAAATATGCATTAAACATTGCCGCAGGATGCCAAGCAATCTACTATTAATTGACACCGGCTTTCAAACAGAAAATTAACATGTCGATGGTCCTACTATTATAAAGTTTCATACAGAAACAAGCAAGACTAAATTATTCTTATGACTTATTGAATTAGTTTTTTTTTAAAACAAATTATGTTTGTATTCAATATTTTGCTTTTGAAAAAGCCGTTTCTAGTTTACTGTTGTTTTTGTTGTTATATTTTAAACGCATCAGCGTGACAGGAGCAAAACTCACGGACAAACACAAAAAACACAGCTGACTTTGCGAATATTTATTTTCTAATTTGTCTTGTTGTATTTATATATGGAAAGATCCTAGGTCAAAATCTTAGCGCCGATTTTTCTTTGTGTGATTTTTTTTTATCAGTGTTTGTATATAGTAGAGCTGATAGTTTTATTACTGTGGCAGATATTTTTTGTATCTTATGTAGCATTTATCGTTCCTCATATACCTGTATTGAGAGGCTTGGTATTTTATAGTAAAAATGTTTTATGTACTATGTATATATCTTTGTATTATGAGTTTTGTTAAATGCTACGAAAAGACAAACTCTTGGGAAATTTGTTTTGTCTTGTAGTGGTATAAAAATTTGCTATTACTTATAGATCGTTGGTTCATTATTATAAATTATATAAATTTTATCAATATTATTTGAAAAAAAGCATTCTAATCCTAATGTAGATAGCATACCTGTCACATTACAAGGACCGAAGGGGGTAATTTCAGTGTTGGTATTTTTTGCTGCTAATGATTTTAAAGCAAGTTGCCACAATAAATAATCGGACTGTAAACATGAATCCGATCAATATACAAAAAAACCAGTTCTAATTTAAAAAATAAATCGGACTCTATTTTAGTAAAACAAATCTGTCCGGAGAAAAAAACTTCTTTATTTTTTCATTTGTTGAAGCCTGACAACATTAGACGGGTACCGCTTGCGACGCATAGAAAGAAATTCTTCATAAAAACTTGATAGTATTCTTTTTATGAAAACAAAACAGAGCTTTACTTTTTACCTGTACGTGTTATATTGGTTTATTGGTTACTTGTTTGAGTTTCCGTTGTTTTAATTCGTTTCTCGACCGGAAATAAAGTATCTTAACTTTTAACCACAACAGTTATGCTAAAACATAAAAAAAAACAAAGACCATAGTATTAATGGAACACCACTACAGCTGTTCGGCTTTCTCCTTTTGGAGTTCACGCGATTCCCTCATTTTTGTTTGTTACCTTGGACATCGGTAAACTTTTGTCGTCTTAACCTGTTGAAATTAACAAAATAAAAAAATATACAAAGACAAACCAAAAACAATCAGCACATAATTAAATGAAAACGAAATATATTCTCCGTTCAAAATTATAGGTATGAGGGGGTAAGCGACACTGAAAGTTAGCTTCGAATGAAATAATGACTTGGTAGTTATTGCGATCGTTTGAATAGAATAAAAAAAATCATCAAAAAATATTTGAGAAGTTATTATTGTTAATCACTGTCCTAGAAATCTATTGTTACGGACAAAATATTGAAAAGGTTTCAATATGATCAAATCACAAATCATGCAATAAACTACTCCAACAATGAAATTTCTTACCCACTATTTTTCTACTAGTTTAATGTAGTTCATGAAGTCATCTGTTGCAGGGAATTTGATTTCCTTCTAATTCCATTAGTCGTTTTCTGAGGACAATGGATAACGAGACATCTGGGCTAAACATCAAATCCGAAAAAATCTACAACAAAACCTTAATGAAAAAATTCAATCTAATTAAAATTAAATCTCCGCACTTGCTCCTCGTTGATTATATGTCGCGCGTGGGAGATCTAACAACAGCCGCTTGAGGGTCATGTCTAGGGAAAAAATTGGTGAACTTTGACCGACCAATCAGCGTGCAGAAAATCAATTTCGATTAACCAATCAGCGACGGGCTTATATACCATTATCGGATCGTTAAAAAACATGGATGCGCCCAGTTTGGACAACGTTTTGACAAAAGTTTTGCCAAAATTTGGTATAAATGATATAAAGAAGGAGCAAAAGGAAATTTTAGAGTGTTTAGTTAACAAGAAGAAGTGCGTGGCTGTACTCCCGACTGGTTTTGGCAAGTCACTGCCGTTTCAACTGTACCTTCCAGTTGTCCGGGCGGTTATTGAAAACAGTTCTGACTGAAAAGTTTTAGTCTGTTGTCCCTTAGTAGCTCTGATGCAGGACCAGGTGGAAAAACTCTCGCACATTGGAAATATTACTGCTGCATACAAAGGTTAGTATAACTTTAAGCATGCAGTGGTAGTAAGGCTTCAATAAATGGAATAGTCTATACTATAGTATTTAATGCCATTAAACACCTAATTTATATTATAATTATTATGTTGGCAGTGTTGTATAATAAAGATGTTTATAACACATGAGAAATTAGTTAGGGGGTGACATGTTATCCCCCTGTACAGTGGCGGATCCAGAACTTTTTGCCCACTGACTGACCTAAGAGGGGGCCCGCTCCAGTCATGCTTCAGTGATTCCCTATATAATCAACTAAATTTTTGCCACAAAAGGGGAGCCCAGGCCCCCCTGGATCCGCCTATGCTGTTGGAGCTACTTATATAATTAATGCAATGCCTCTATCTTACAAAAATGTCTTAAGACGTTGTTCCCACACCTTATGGTGTCTAGATGCAGGGCCCCCTTTTCCATAGTCCTGGATCCGCATCTGACCAGGCAAAGATGTACATGTATGCCTTATCAAATAAAATAAAATTTATTTGCAGGAACAAACATTTAAACTTCAGTATATCAAAACATACACATGACTAACAGTAACAAAGCAGTAATATGAAACTTAGATATACATGAGCAAAGTTAAAAAAAACTGCAGAAGCAGTTCATCATAGCCATGGTAGCACATAAATTTGTCTCATTTCACCGAGAACAGATTGTATCGGTCATATTGCCAGTATTTTACAGTCGTTTTGGCCATAATGCTAGTTCTTCATACTTTGTATAAAGATATATACTACATGTTGTATTAATGAAGCACCAGAGTCCAAGGGAAGTGTTGTTAAATTACATGTACTAATAATCTATCTCAAAACAAATATACATGCATATAAGAATAAGAAGATGTCGTACATGTACAAGACTTGAAGTAAAATTGCCAACTCAACTCTCCACCAGACAACACATGACAAAGTTTACAACTATAGGTCACCATCTGACCTTCAACAATGAGCAAAATGATACAGCATAATTAGCTTTACATGGCTCAGAAACGTGCGGGAAACTTAATTTTTAAATTAGATTGTTATTTGTCATGTTTGTGTTCAGGTGTTAAACAATGAAAAAATATGAAAAAGTGCAGTCTAAAAGACCTTGTTGGATGGCCAAACAGATACATTGGCAGAAACATCTCAAAATCGAGAAAATATGCCATGCATTCATTGAAATCTCAGCTATATTCATTTCTGTATAGGACTTTACAACAATAAGAATTATTTCATTGGATTTCAATCTTTAATCAAACGCAGTGAAATGGAGAAAGGGTATTTGTACAGTGTACATTTAAATTATAGAAGTTATCATAGAAATATGTCTTTTTGGAGACTGCCCACCTACATTTTTTTTTGCATTTTAGGATCATCTTCCCCAGAGTGACGATCAAATCAAAGAGGGGTTGATAGATGTCATTTTTGCATCTCCAGAAACATTGGTTGGTGATCCCTATTGGAGAACTTGTTTAAAGAAGTTGAACATTAAGTTGGTTGTAATTGATGAGTTTCACACAATAGCAATTTGGTAAGTGGATACAATGTTTATTCCCCATGTTCATTTCTATTCGCACATTTACAGGACGTATTATGGTATACCGTTGTCTATATAAAAAAGAATAGTGGTAGGATTGCCAATGAGATAACTCTCCACAAGTGACCAAATGACACAGAAATAAACAACTATAGGTCACCGTACGGCCTTCACATTGAGCAAAGCCCATACCGCATAGTTAGCTATCAAAGGCCCCGAAATGACAATGTAAAACAATTCAAACGAGAAAACAAACGGCCTAATTTATGCATAAAAAATGAACGAAAAACAAATACAAATGTATGTAACACATAAACAAATGACAACTACTGAATTACAGGCTCCTGACTTGGGACAGGCACTATACAGAATGTGGCAGGGTTAAACATGTAAGCGGGATCCCAACCCTCCCCTAACCTGTGACTGTCTGTCAATCGTCAACCTGTCAGACAGTAACTCAAAAACTATTCAACTAATTTGCATGAAACTTTGATGAATTGTTTCTATATATTGATGTGTACTCCCTTCCCATTTTTATGAATTTAGATTTTCAAAAATATAGAAGTAAAAAATTAAGACCACTGGTACAGAACTGTACAGCTTTCAGAACGAGATAACCTAATACTAAAAAGTAAGCTCTTTTAAGACCACTACTTGCAAAATGATGAACCATTACAATGTAATTATAAGAATGTATGAAAAATAAAACCCTAAACAAATGTGATAGACAGCAACCAACAACAACCACTGAATGATAGGCTGTTACATAACAATATGGACAAGCACATTCATGTATTTAATTTTGTTTTGCCATAAGAATTAACAATCTAGGCAAGAGGTGCTGATATTTACCTTTTATAAAATTTTTATAGAAGTACTTATTTCTATTTTTCTTTCAGGGGCCAAGATGAAGGAGACAGAAAAAAAGGCTTTTCGAAAATGGTTTTCAAATGTAGGTGAACTAAGATCCCTCTTTTCCGATGCTACAGTATTGGCTTTAAGTGCAACTTGCACTGTAAGCTTTAGGAAAAAAGTCATGAAAATATTGCAGCTAGCGGAGGACACAACAGAAATTAATTTATCACCAAACAAGTCTAATATTAAACTAGTATCTTCCAAAATTAAAAATTAAATTGAAATGGGAATGACATGGTAAGTAGATGCATTAGAGGAAAAAAGTCAGGACTTCCCACGTACACATTTGTATTGTTCATCGATAAATGACACTTCCAAACTTTATAAATACATTGTAACAGAATTGCCACATTGTGCCAAGTATATTGAGATGTTCCATTCTGAAACTCCAGATGTTAACAAAAACATCATAATTAATGCATCGAAGGAGGAAAGTAGTGTTTTGAGACTTATTTTGTCAACCAGTGCCCTGGGAATGGGTTTAGATGTAAAAAAGTGTAGTGGAGTGGTATTATTTGGACCTCCAAATTATATGGTAGATTTGCTGCAAGAAATAGGGCGAGTGGGGAGGGATGGAAATCCATCATTTGCCATTATCCTATACAATGGATACCACTTGCAGAAGTTGAAACCGGAAGCTAAGGCAATTCTTAAAGCTAAAGATTGTAGGAGAAAGGATCTGATGTGTAATTTCCTCAGAAATTCAGACTTGGATGATTTGATGAAGAAAGAAGGCAGGAAACATTCATGCTGTGACTTGTGTACTAAGTCTTGTAATTGTGAATCCTGTGATATGTTACCTCTTGAGAAGTTATTTCTGTCAGAACAAGTTGTTGAGGAGCTCGAGGAGCAAGAAGATTCTGCTGTTTCAGATAGCGATACTGAAGACTACAATTTGTCGGCCTATGAATACTTCGAAGATCTAGATATGGCTTTATTAGAAATACAAGATGATTAAAACAGTTGATATTTATTTATTTAATTTTTCAGTATCTGGTTTCTGTAACTTATTCAACTTTAGACTCTTCAAATTTTTTTGACTTTTAACCCCCTTACAATTGCTGTATTGCCACTCTAGATCTGGGTTCATGTCATGCCTGCAGCTGTCAATGTGACTAAAAAGAGATGTAGCGTATAAAAACAAATGAGACAGTAACTGATGGACACACATCATAAGATATTTACTTGTTTTCATCTTAAAAATAAAGAGATGCGGTATGATTGCCAATCAGACAACTACCCTCCAGACTTTTCAATAACTTGGTATAAGCATGATAAGCAATTGTAGAACAACGAGAAAAACCCATGCCTTTAGTCGGCTACAAAAGGCCCCGACCAGAAAAATATGAAAAAATTCAAAAGAGAAAACCATGTCTGCCATGTCTGTCATGTCTGTCAGATATGGTTGCAGATTCGCCTAATCTTGACCTCATTTCACGAAACAAGCATATAATTATATTCGGGGTCAAGTCTGCATCTCGATTACTATAAACATGATAAACAAACAGAAAAATATATTTGGTGTGGAATTATTGTAAGATGTAAAAAAGAAGATGTGGAATGATAGCCAATGAGCATGATTAGACAACTCTCCACAAGAGACCAAATGACACAGAAAGTAACAACTATAGGTCACTGTACGGCCTTCAACAATGAGCAAAGCCGATACCGCATAGTCAGCTATAAAAGGCCCTTAAATGACAAATGTAAAACAATTCAAACAAGAAAACTAACGGCCTAATTTATGTACAAAAAATGAACGAAAAAACAAATATGTAACACATAAACAAACGACAACCACTGAATTACCTAAGGCTCCTTTGATGCCCTATGTTCCACAAGGAATGAAGAGGATTAAGTCAAGCCTGATTTAGGACAGGCACATACATACAGAATGTGGCGGGGTTAAACATGTTAGCAGGATCCTAACCTGGGACAGTGGTGTAACAGTACAACACAGGAACGAACTATAAAAATCACTCTGGTTGGTTTCTGACCTTGACTTTTCATGGTTTTTGGATCAACAAGTCAACTATCTTTGGTGTATAGAATTATTGCTTTTGATGTACATGTATGTCCTTTTGTGCTAAGTTTTGGCATGGTTCATATGACATGTATGACTTTGACCTTTTTGTTCATTGTTCTTGATGATGTTATATTTGTTCTATATAGCAAACTCATTGTATTTAACTTGGTGTAGCCAACAGTATACATAGAGGATGATTATTTTTGCTCAAAATAAACATTGACAGGTTGATTGATTATTGATTTCTTCACTTGGGTTTCAGTGGCAAATATTTCATGCATATTCAAGACAATAACATGAAGTGGGACTATATCTTTCTTACAACTTTGTTCAAGACCAATGTGTTCATCAAGAAAACAGTCAAATATAGACTTAATACCACATCCTCTTTTGTATACGACCACAAAATAATTTTGCGGTCGTATATTGGTATGACGTTGGCGTCATCGTCCGAAGACACATTGGTTTTCGCATTCTTACTTTAGTTTGAGTAAATGGATCTCCATGAAATTTTACCATAAGGTTCAATACCACAAAAGTAAGATGGGGATTGATTTTGGGGGTTATGGTACCAACAGTTCAGGAATTAGGGGCCAAAAATAAGCATTTTTGTAACTTCCAGACATTACTTGTGTGTTAGTGTATGGATCTCTCTGACATTGTACAAGGTTCCATATCACAAAGGGAAGGCTGGGATTGATTTTGGGGGTAATTGCCTCAAAATTTTAGTAATTAAGGGCCAAAAAGGAGCAAAAAACAAGTATTTTTCTACTTCATGTCAATAACTTGTGTGTAAGTGTATGGATCTTTCTGAAATTGTACTACAAGGTTCCATATCACAAAGGGAAAGCTAGGTTTGAGTTTGGGGATAATTTCCCTAAATGTTTAGGAATTTTGAACCAAAAAGGGGCCAAAAACAAGCATTTTTCTAGTTTCCAGTCAATAACTTGTGTTTGAATAGGTAAATTAAAAATTTATAAGTTCTTAGACCACATTTATTCTGTGTCAGAAACCTATGTTGTGTCAAATATTTAATCACAATCCAAATTCAGTGCTGTATCAAGCTTGACTGTTGTGTCCATACTTGCCCCAACTGTTCAGGGTTCGACCTCTGCAGTGGTATCAAGCTGGGCCCAGCAGAGCATTTTATTATATTAAGTTACTGTGTTTAATTTGACTAAGATAGAAATTGAACAAAATAATGTGCACTAATAACTTCATCACTCAGGAAAGCACATTTAACCAACACCACCTTGTATAAGTTTTATCAACAGCTCTTTACATGTACATATAGGGTAAATATCTGCATGCTTTATCTCATTGTTGTTTTGTACAAACGTGCTTGATGTTTTCATAAAGTCATTTCGGGTCTTTGTACAGCTTGCTATAGGTTTTACTCAAAGTCAGAGGTGGAACTGTGAACTTTAATACAGAAAAATAAGTTGGTCCCTTTTGAATAGTTGTCTCATTAGAAATCAGGCCACATTTTTATAAACATGTTTTTGTAGGTAGTTATGCTGCCTAATCAAAATGACCATGATATTCTGCAACTAAACTGAAAGTATTTCATTATTTTGTTTGTTGGGTTGATGTCTCATTGACTTATGACACTTTAATATCAGCAACAAACTACTAAAAAAGTACCAGCTAATTAAGGTTATGACTTAAGAGAAAATTAAACCTGCACACTTTATTCACAATAATTTAATTCCAAGCAATATTTTTCAAATATGTGGATTTGGAGGCGATGGAAGGGGACTGTTGGTTGATGTCACGGCGATGAATCAATGTACGAAGTCCTATAAATGCACTGTCAAATGGGTTTTTGTCTTTTTTTAGCTCCTTGCACTTAATTGTTATTATTCTTGAAGTTTTATATGTTAAATGTAGTACATTTTCTTGTAGTAGGTCTTTTGCAATTTTCTGAACATCAGCTTGGTATGACAGTATATGGTGGAACCCCTTCTTTCCTGTTAAATTGGTAATGTTATCAAAATGGCTTGCAAAATTAACTAGGTGAGGATACTCTTTAGAGTGTTGAAGGATACTTTCCTTTGTCTGATGTCCTGAACATGTTACTTTTGTATCCTTGTTCAACATCTCTCAAGTATTCATCTAAGCTTATATTATTGTTTGTTCCACCTTGCAGATTAACAAATCTATTAGCAATTAATCTTTCTGATTGGTCAGGTGGTAAGACACCCGAAGTTAGTCACTTAGTTCTTCTTGAATTTTTAATGCATCTTTCTTTAATTTGATTGACTGTTGGACTTTTCTAAAACATTTAATACAGACGCCATTGTCATTGTCTACTTCGGCGTTTACTTCAAAACCAGTAACAACACTAGAAATCATTGCGATTCTCTCTGAGTTCTGCTGAAGTTTCAGTTTGAACAGTTGTTTTTTCAACACGTTCTCCCGTTGAGGAGATTTCTATCTGGATGAAAGAAAAACCGCATAAAACACAAATGTTTGTTCATACTGATATTTTCCTTGGGGTGCATACTTCACTTGATGCCATTTTAACCTCGGAAGGCAATAATACAAACTATTATTACAGTTGTATGTTACGAAACGTTTTTCGCATGGGGGCTGCCATTTTTGTTTATATACATTCGGAAGACCTCTAGACGCTACTAAGACTCCTATGCCAGTCCAATACCCTAACACTTTGTAGCACCTTCGCTGATTGGCTACAGCAAATTTGACCCTAGACATGACCCTCAAGCGGCTGTTGTTAGATCTCACACGCGCGACATATAAACAACGAGGAGCAAGTGCGGAGATTTAATTTTAATTAGATTGGAAAAAATTGATATATATATTGAAGCTAAACATGGGTTAATTACAATGAACAAGCTTCCTAAACATAATAAAATCTCTTTATTTGACAGAGTATAGAAATATTGTTTATAAATTCAGTCGAAGCAACAGAAAGTATTCCATCAACACTCAATTCGTAAAATAGAGAGAAAAAAAGACGTATTTTACTATATATATAATTGAGAATTGAAATGGTGTGCTTGTGTCATTCTTCAAAGCTGTACAAGTGTACAACACTCCTTAAATACGTACTTTTATCATTTTCTTCAGTTGTGTCATTTTCTCAATAACATAATATTACATCTGCATGTCTTCATTAAAGAGTAATAAAATCATTTGAAAATTGTTCATATAAATAACTTTTGAATGTGTATTTCACAAACACATAACATAATAAGAAAGTGAAATGTGTTTCAAAGTATTTAGACCTTCCAAATTTTTGAGACATTATTTTTGTATTTAATTGACCCGATGTGCAGCTGTTGGATAAAGGTTATTTCTGTTTTACCAAATGGCTTAACGTGTGTTATACACATAATTTGTTAATAAGCCAACTGGAAGGACATTTTTTATGTTTTGTAGATTGAATGGTAAATTTATAACCAAGTTACTAGTACATCAGAAACACCTCCATGTGTTATATTATATCTGTAAATCTTAAACCACTTATTGAGCGTTGTATGTTTAATTAACTTTTTCGTTCCAGTGTGTTCAAATCATAAACACGATAGTAATACAATAGTATAGTTCTTCATTTTATTTCCTTTTTATTCCATCTGAGGTCTGGTCATCAATATTTCATCGATACGAAATGTTTATCTGTGGTCTTCCTTTTTTTGCTTTGTTTAAATCTTTGGATTTGATGACATTGGCCCTATTGTATCTTTTTAATCAGTTTTTATACACTAAATGCCTGTGTGCGCCAATAGTCAAATAGTAGACAATCATATCTTTACCATATCTCAGCTTAAGGTCTCTTCTTAACATTTATAAGTAGTAATTCGGGTTTCCCTGTTTTGCTATTTTGGTGTAATCGGGATCATAGAAGAAAAAGTAAGAAAAGGCAATTTTGTTACACTAACTATATGATATTGATCAACTTACATATATACCAACAGCAATGAATCG